GGTATTATAATTGTTGTTATTATATTGGAAGTACTCAAGATTTAGTATGGGTTCCCATATCTAAACCAGAGCGTACCTGTTTGGTGGATTGGGAAATGTCTTCACGATATGGAGGTTACCCGGCTCAGCAGCCACGAAACAAATAGGAAAAGATCGAGGAGATGAGAGGAAAACCCTGGTGGTACAAAACCATTTTTTAGGAGACAGAAGAAAGTAATGGGGTTTCATGATCCAGCTCAGCACTTCTCGTGCAATAAAAACAACTAAGCTGCCGATTGAAACAAGAAACCTAGTACATGTACGACTCGTATATTACGAATTTGGATGAAATAGACGTAATAAAATATTAATTGAAATAAATGAAAATGCCCACCTCTCTCAATCTACATGTGGGTGCGGCTTATATACAGGTGCACTCAGTAGCCCGAACTTAACGGTAAGTTTGGGATTGACAGTTCTCATAAATCATGAATACACAATCAAACAATATTATAAATTTAAATTTGGAAAATATGAAGAGAAGTTAAAGCATAAAAAGGATCTGTTTAAAAAAAACCCCAACATGTTGCTGAACATGATTGTGGTAAATACTATGTTTTTATTTCAAGCTGCAGTACAGGCAGCAGGTGGCGCCCTATCCTCATAGGCCTACAGCTGCCAACTGCCAACTGCAGACCGACATCGACAACAACACTTTTCAAAATGGCTACGCGGAACGTTAGAGCCATGTAAAAACGGATAGACTAGTAAAGTATGATATAATGCAGGAAATGGATAAGATCATTTAACATAATGTTATTGGGTATTTCAGAAGTTCTCGTAGAAGGAGAAAGGAATACTTAGTCAAAACAAGAAATGAAAGAACTGTATATCTAAAATTGTTTAAATTTTTTTCAATTCGTTTTGTGTATCCATTGCAAATTCCCGAGAGAGATAACCCAAAGGACGATACAAACTGAGTAGACACAGTAACACACGCTCGCGTCTGACCAGTGATCGGACCCGCTATTTGTATCTGGGTTTGTTTTGTTTTGTTATTATATTTGTATGTTTTTGTTTGTGTTGCTGTTGGTTTATGTTTTTTTTTTTTTTTTTTTTTTTTTTTTTTTTCAACATTTTTTGGGGGGGGGGGTTGTTTCTTTGTTTATTATTGTTGTCTTTCGTATTTTCTTAAAATTTAATATCGAAATAGCAGCCATCGCTAATATTAACTATACATTCTGCTAAGTCAGACGAGAGTGAACATGACGTTATAGCGGTGGCTTGTGGGCAACGCTGGTAGTTTTTTTTCTCTACTTTTTGTTGTTTTTCTATCTTACATTACGTTTTTCGTCTTTGTTGTTATTTAAAACAAGAGCAAATAGCAACACGAAAAAAAAGCCCATCGCAAAATACCAAATTAAATCCCCCCC